ACCAGTTCCCCGAGTACGCCAAGCAGGACTTCCACATTGCCGGCGAGTCGTACGCTGGCCACTACATTCCCGTGTTCGCCTCCGAGATTCTGTCCCACGAGAACCGCAACGTGAACCTCAAGAGCGTTCTCATCGGCAACGGTCTGACCGATGGCTGGACGCAGTATGCCCAGTACCGCCCCATGGCTTGCGGCGACGGCGGCTACCCCTCTGTCGTTAGCGAGAGCGAGTGCCAGGCCATGGACAACGCTCTTCCCCGCTGCCAGCAACTCATCAACAACTGCTACGAATCCGGCAGTGTTTGGTCGTGCGTGCCTGCCAGCATCTACTGCAACAACGCCCTCATCGGCCCTTACCAGCGCACCGGCCAGAACGTCTACGACGTCCGCAGCAAGTGCGAGGACAGCAGCAACCTCTGCTACTCCGCCCTCGGGCTGGATCAGCGAGTACCTCAACCAGGACCATGTTATTGAGGCCCTGGGTGCCGAGGTCTCCAACTACGAGAGCTGCAACTTTGACATCAACCGCAACTTCCTCTTCGCCGGTGACTGGTTCCAGCCCTTCCACCGCCTGGTTCCCGGTCTGCTCGAGAAGATCCCCGTGCTCATCTACGCCGGTGATGCTGACTACATCTGCAATTGGCTCGGCAACCGTGCCTGGACTGAGGCTCTCGAGTGGCCTGGCCAGAAGGGCTTCAACAAGGCCGATATCAAGAGCCTGACGGTCGCGGACGACAAGAAGGGCAAGGAGTACGGCAAGGTCAAGTCCAGCGGCAACTTCACCTTTATGCAGATCTACGGCGCTGGCCACATGGTTCCCATGGACCAGCCCGAGTCTTCGTCGGACTTTTTCAACCGCTGGTTGAGCGGTGAATGGAACGACTAGAGAAGGCCTTCTGAGGTTGACCGTCGTGGCGGTCCGGTAATGGATCGACGGCCAGGTGTATGAGTAGACGCAGTTTTCTTGGCCCGAATAGTATGGACATATATGGGGAACGCTGTCTGTTTGATGGAGAGTTCGATGGTCGCATAGCATGATGTTCCGTCTACAATCAATCAATATGAATTACCCAAATGTCACCTTACACGAGTGCACTAATCCTCCCCACTTGATTATGATGTGTTAGGAAGCTAGTCAGCTGTCGTCTGTCATCTCGTCCCTCGTAGCATAGGGGTCGAAAGAGAACTTGGCGAGGACATCAAGAAATGTGTTCCTGGGGCGACTGTGGTAGCTTGATCTGGTAGGACTAGTTCGCCCCCTGATATGTAATCTAAGGGCATGGTGTGTGTGGGTATATAGAGGAAAGAGTCTAACCTTGGCATGGACGTCGAGGCCATCTTTACATATGTAGCCAGTGCAGAATACTGGAGAAGAGGAAAGGTTTGATTACCCTGAGGTGTGCCAGAACTGAGGCGAGGGCTCGCGTTCTGAAGACGGGTTGTGACTATTCAAATCATTTTCTCGAACAAGTTCAAGCTGACCCCCCATGTGAATTTTGAGTGGCATACGCTTGAAAATTGAGCTAGCTACCATAAGAGTGGCAGATGGACCATTCATTCCAACGCAGTTTCGAGTCACCACGCGCGCTTGAAACATGTTCCGTCTGCCTTTAGTTTGCAAGGTAAAAATCATAGCAATATCAAGAAGAGGTGTGTTGGAGGTCCACCTGCTAGTAGGTAAATAGGTAAGCAAAGCACATCTGGAGAGGCAAGTTCGGGTTGAATTCAATGACGACTTTGCCTGTGAAGTCGGGGTCTTGAAGACCTGTTGAAGACCCTGAGAAGTACTATGACCGTGGTTCAGCAGAGGACGCAGGTTAGCTTCAGGAGCCGTAGGATTTGTATGCTGAAGCTCCTCAATCATCCTGACGATGGAGCATCTTTATCATTGTGCCCGTACCCTACGGTCGTCCTTACTGCAACGTCGTGAACTTCAAGTCTGGCCGTGCAATGCAGCGGCTGGCTACATCCAGGGTTGAGTTCCTACTTTACTTCACAGAAACTCAACAGAACAACCAAGTCCGAGTTTCTATTGGACTTGACTGTGTAGTCGAGACTCTCCTGATCAGTCAAACAACTTACAATATGAGTTTCGACTTGGCTACTTTGTGACGAATTCTGAACTGAGAACATATCTGAGGTAATGAAAGCAAATTGGGGTGAAGTGTAGCAAGCTGATGCCGATTCTCATACCGGGTGTCTACCTCATGGCTTTATGTAAAGACTCAGAGCGTTGATTTGGCTGGTATGCAAATGCCGAAGGCGAAGAACCTGTTCTTCCTTTTAGGATGAGTTACGATTTCGTAACTCTGACAAAACAAAATTAAGGATGAACGTACCACGATGAGCCCTTGATCCATAACTCCCGTATCCTCGACGAACTATCATGACGAACGGGCCAGCGGCGTTCTTAGCTTGTTTATCGCGAAACAAGCCGATGCGCGACATGGCGTTATTATGGGAGCTATAAAACCTCCGGGATATCAAAATTGAAGAAAACTACCCATACTGGTCACCTGTTACCTGTAATTTCAAATGACCCCGATTGGCGCTGGTTACACAAGAAGCATTCGTTGGGTTTGTGTTACGCAACGTACCTAGTGTTCACGAACGCAGGCGGCTTTACGCTTCGTTGCCAGCTTCACTACCTAGTCAAAATTCAAAATCATAATCCAGAGCCTTCCTGAATCTATGTATTCAAGAGACAACGATTCTCAATGTCAGCAAATGGCTTGTGGCGGATATACCATCACGTGCATCGAGTGCGAGTTTACACCCCTTGCTCGCCTGTCTTAGTCACCGCCGCTTGCCGCCGTCAGCCCAGAAAAGGTACAACTGCCCCTCCCCCGCCA